CGTCCCTTGGGTTTGCAGGCCATAGAATAGCTTAGGGATAATGTGATTTTGAGGATTGCGAACTTCTGGTCCGGCTTAAGAGGGATCTCTTAAGATTGGCCAGCCAGGTCGGTAGATTAGCGAGGGAAGGGCGCATTAGTCCTTTGACGGACGCTTCATGGCCAAGATAACGGAAGCTGTTGACCTCCGTCACCATGGCCACGCGGCGTCCATCCAATCGTAAGTTGTAATCTTTCCTAGGCGCCAGGACACCCCTCGCCAATCCCACGACCATGGCTGAGCACTTTTTAGGGTTTAGTGCCATGCCTTTGGACTTCGCGAACTCAACAATCTCATCGAGGACCAGAGGGATATCTCCTCCCGATCCTCGAGCAAGACTATGTCGTCCGCAAACGCCATGGCAGACCCCTCACCCCAGGCAATATTGTTCCGCCTCGCTCCCCATTATTAAGCCCGGCCAGAAGCTCATCAATCACTAGATTGAAAAGTAGCGGACTCAGCGGATCCCCTTGCTTTACACCGCAGCTAAACCCAATGTCCCTCGTCGTTTCCTGCCCCACCCGAATCTGTGTCACAGAGGTTGCCAAGTTTGTCGCAACGTAACGTATGGAACGCTCGTCCACCCCAAACCGTCTGAGAGCTCCCACAACGCTCCCATGTCCAACAGTGTCAAAGGCCTTCCGCAAATCGAGTGAAGCGACCGCGTACTTTATTGGAGGACACCCTATTCCGAATGTATGAGTGTAGAATCATACAATTCGCGAGAGTGCCGTCCAGCGTACTAAATCCGCGTTGATTGGCTTCCAGGGCGACGACCTTCCGCAAGCGGTTAGCCATCGCCCTGTGCATCAGTCGCTGGAGGGCACTCCCGATAGTAAGGGGCCTCCAATTCGCCGCCTCGCTCCGTTGGCCGTCTTTATATATAATTGTGGTCCTAGACCGCAGGAAGATGGCAGGGTGCACGTTTCTCATAAGGATTATTGAATATAAAACACATAGCACCCTGTTGTTCGTATTTTTAACCGATGCCACCGTTATCCCGTCAGCACCAGGTGCTGAGTTAGCCCATGCTGTTTTGGCTGCCTCTAGTTCGCTTTCTTCGAATGGAGCGAAAGTGGTGGCATCGGTGTTTCGTGGTTCGGGATGAACCGTCATCGTCTCCGTCGCAGCCCGCTCGAAGATCCCGCTATACAGCTCCTCAACCGCTTTTAGAGGTGGTACCTCTTCAGTAGAGTCTAGTGGAGTTCCTGAAATGATTTTATCCACTAGAGCTGATCTGTTACGGAGGTAGAGATCCTGGGCCTTTTTGTATGATTCTACCCGTGGACCTCTTCCTGGTCTAGTACCTCCGTAATTTGATTTTGGTCCACCTCTGTGACCATTTGGGTTGTATTTCCTTCCCCCTTTTTGGAAATGTTCTATTATCCAATTGTCTAGATAGGAGGCAAGATCATTAACCGCAAGCGATGATCCTGCCTGGCACAGGTCCGCCAGATGGCCGTTCCCATTGGCCAGCGCTGCTTCGCGTTCAGACGCGAGGTATTCGCGCAGCGCTGGTTCAATGACCACCTGGGTTTGTTCGACCTGTGCGGGGGAGTTGGCGGTGAGGTTGACTGCATCGGTGCGGGGTCTCCTTACTGTAGGCTGCGACAGAGGCGACATCGATTCATTCCGAATCCTCTTCCTGCTTGTCATCGGATCTGGAGTGATTGGCGATAGTGCGGACGCAACCGCGGAGGAGCACTCACCCTCTTTTACATCGTCGCGAGCTGTTGGTGGCGTCGATGTCGCTGCCTGATGGTCGATCTTCTCGTTCGTTGGGCAGGTGGGCGGCTCACAGGGCACACTGGGAGAAGGGATTGGTTGCTGTTTCTTCCTAGCGGCATCGAGGTATTGCTTATAGATGGGTTTATCTCTTCGATGCCGTATTTGGTCCTTCGTCAGACCTGATTCGGCAACCATTTTCGCCATAAAGGGCCTTTATGTGACTGGATCTCGATGTTTGCCAGTATATCATAGATTTCGGAATCAGGCCTTCGTAGTTCCCTCCTCCTGCTGTCGTTTTCTGCTTCGGGGTGTGCCCTCTGCTCGTGAAGCCGCACCCCTGTGTATGTAGTAAAACCTGCTTTGCAATATTGGCATTTAGTTCGATCGCGCTTGCCACATGTTAGGAGATGTTTGTTGAGGCCACTTTTTGTCTCATAGGGCCTCTCGCATATTTGACACCTGTATGGTGCTGCATTGGCAGGCTGCAGGGTCACCGTATTACTGGGCCCTGGTATTGGAGAAACGGTATTCGAGCCTGCCAATTTGGTTCCGGTGGCTGTTGGGCCACCGGCAGTCGATTTTCCACCCGCTGGAGGGGATTTAACTGGTTCCCCCTCATTTATATCGAATTTCCTCTTGCGGGTGGGGTGACGTGACGTCATGTCACGTGTTCTAACTCTCTCTGCCGCAACAGCGGTTTTAAATGTCTTCCTCTTGGAATCCGCCATTGCGCATGCGCCGCCGCCGTTGAGTGTCTTTGGGTAGGTTAAAGCACTGTCCTTTCCGCGTATGGGAGTGAAGACCGTTTGCCGCTACGTGGTCTGGTTCCGGAGATATCGCGTGTGAAAGATTTTATCTCCGGAACTACCTCCTCCCAGCTCCTGGTCTCCTGATACCTGGCCGCACTTAATACGGCCAGTACGGCGTTACTGTCGAGTTATGGAGCTGAGATTTGGTGTGTGTCCTTGGGGCCGGTAGATGATTTGATTGGACGCCTTTTTGGCCCCGTCGGACACGATGTACTTGCCAAAAGGGCACTAGCGGCTTGACGCCGGAAACCGGCGTTGCGGGGGGCAATCGAGCTGGTGTGATATTCTATTAGATGCGCGATGCCCCAAAGACAATATGGGGCCCGCGCTGTCGTGCGATTCTAACCTTTATTGTAAGATTTCTAGGTTAGAATCGCGTTGTTTCTTAATTTTCCTTTTTGATACCAGCCCTTGCACTCACCCCGCTGTCTCACTCCCACGCACTAACCCGTCACTGCACGTGTGCTGCCCGTTATTGAGGGCGCCGCGACGCGGTAGAGATTTCTTGATGCGTTTATAAAAATCGCGTTGTGTCGCACACACGTGCACACTCCTCAGCGGCGGAGAAGAGAGTCATAGTTACTCCCGCCGTTTACCCGCGCTTGCTTGAATTTCTTCACGTTGACATTCAGAGCACTGGGCAGAAATCACATTGAGTCAACACCCGCAGGGGCCATCTCAATGCTTTGTTTTAATTAGACAGTCGGATTCCCCCGGTCCGTGCCAGTTCTGAGCTGACCGTTGAATGGCGGCCGAAGAGGACACCAGAACGCCCTTGCGAGCGCACTCTGGGCCTCGCAGCAAGACGGTTCCGCGGGAGGCCAAGGCACGGTACCGAGTTCGGATCCGCAATCCTACCGCACACGCGCGAACGCATACGACAGAACGTTTCACCTCGCCCAGGCCCGGCACGTCAGCCGCGACCCGCTTCCTCGCCAAGCCCGACACGCCCCGATCCTCAGAGCCAATCCTTATCCCGAAGTTACGGATCCAATTTGCCGACTTCCCTTACCTACATTATTCTATCGACTAGAGGCTCTTCACCTTGGAGACCTGCTGCGGATATGGGTACGAACCGGCGCGACACCTCCACGTGGCCCTCTCCCGAATTTTCAAGGTCCGAGGGGAAGACCAGGACACCGCTGCAACTGCGGTGCTCTTCGCATTCCAAACCATATCTCCCTGCTAGAGGATTCCATGGAACTCGAATGCTTATGCAGAAAAGAAAACTCTTCCCTGGTCTCCCGACGGCGTCTTCGGGTCTTTTTGGGTTACCCCGACGAACTCTCTTGCGAGGGCCCGACTATTGTACGGTTCCGCTGCCGGGTTTCGGAATAGGAACCGAATTCCCTTTCGCCCGACGGGCGTGTTCTTTATATATACACACATACATACATATATTTATAAAACAACGCCACATCAACATCGGCTTTCGCCTAGGGCTTAGGATCGACTGACTCGTGTGCAACGGCTGTTCACACGAAACCCTTCTCCACGTCAGTCCTCCAGGGCCTCGCTGGAGTATTTGCTACTACCACCAAGATCTGCACCGACGGCGGCTCCAGACGGCCTCACGGCCAGCCCTTCTGCGCGCACCGCCGCGACCCTCCTACTCGTCAGAGCTTCATGGCCGATCCGTTTTTACGCGGATCGAGACCGCACATGCCGCTGACGGCCGAGTATAAGCACGACGCTTCAGCGCCATCCATTTTCAGGGCTAGTAACTTCGGCAGGTGAGTTGTTACACACTCCTTGGCGGATTCCGACTTCCATGGCCACCGTCCTGCTGTCTTAAGTTACCAACGCCTTTCATGGTATCCCATAAGCGTCGATTTAGGCGCTTTAACTCGACGTTTGGTTCATCCCACAGCGCCAGTTCTGCTTACCAAAAATGGCCCACTTGGCACTCTGATTCGATTCTCGCAGCTTCATTAGTTCGAGCAAGCCGGAGATCTCACCCATTTAAAGTTTGAGAATAGGTTGAGGTCGTTTCGACCCCAATGCCTCTAATCATTCGCTTTACCGGATGAAACTCGTCACAGACGAGCGCCAGCTATCCTGAGGGAAACTTCGGAGGGAACCAGCTACTAGATGGTTCGATTAGTCTTTCGCCCCTATACCCAGTTCCGACGATCGATTTGCACGTCAGAATCGCTACGGACCTCCATCAGGGTTTCCCCTGACTTCGTCCTGACCAGGCATAGTTCACCATCTTTCGGGTCCCAGCGTGTACGCTCTTGGTGCGCCTCTTCTCGTAATGAGAACGAGACGCCCCGGGAGTGCGGAGCGGCCGCTTTATAGACGTGCCGCCCATCTTCCCTAAATCCGCGCTAGGCGGATCTTTACTTTCATTGCGCCTTTAGGTTTAGTTATGTCCCAATGACTCGCGCACATGCTAGACTCCTTGGTCCGTGTTTCAAGACGGGTCCTGAAATTACCCAAAGCTATAGCGTCGCAGATCGGCGTTTCAAACGAGGTCTGTCCGAGAAATCCGCACGACCAACAGTCGTCCGGGGACGGAACCGGGCGCTAGGTCCGATCGCCGTCTTAGCATCGAACGTGCTTGTCGTGGGTCGGACGCTAATTGAAGAAGTAGCGGCCTCGCGCCATCTGTATACCGTCGAGCGAGTCGGCCGGAACATCGCGGGTTCGAGCACGAATCGCCGAAACGATCGTACACGGACTCCACCGCGAGCCGTAGACCGACACCCAACGGATCGCGACGTCCTACTAGGGGAAAAGTGCACGCGTTCGACGCCGGATCGAAAAGCGAAAGGCGCGGACGACGCGCGAACGCCGTCCGTCGCGCGACCGCTCATCGCCGACGGCCGACGCGAACGCGAATGAATTTCCCCTTTCGACCTTTCGGGTTTCTCAGGTTTACCCCTGAACGGTTTCACGTACTCTTGAACTCTCTCTTCAAAGTGCTTTTCAACTTTCCCTCACGGTACTTGTTCGCTATCGGTCTCGTGGTCATATTTAGCCTTAGATGGAGTTTACCACCCACTTAGGGCTGCACTCTCAAGCAACCCGACTCTGAGGAGAGATCCTCCCGCGATCGGCAGCGGCCACTACGGGCCTGGCACCCTCTATGGGCTGTGGCCCCGTTCAAGAAGGACTTGGACTCGCCGCGCGACCTCGGGATAAACGGATCCTCCCTAACACCACATTTCCCGGCGCCCGATATCGACCGCGGGATTCGGTGCTGGGCTTTTCCCTGTTCGCTCGCAGCTACTGAGGGAATCCTAGTTAGTTTCTTTTCCTCCGCTTAGTAATATGCTTAAATTCAGCGGGTAGTCTCACCTGCTCTGAGGTCGGTTAACAATATACAACACAACACCACACACAGATATATATGTCACACGCGATCGCTAATACTAAATCGTATAGCTGCTGCTGCTATACTACTACTAGTCGAAAGCGTTCTCTAGTGTTTAGCGCGTATATGCGATCAGACGTCGTTATCTCGAAAAAAATAATTTCTCTCTCGGACACGACGATCGCAGCGCAAGTTCGAAACGCGTAACGACTACAGCATATATACATATATATATATATATATATTATATGTAGTGCTATTACGATTTTTATCCGTACAGCGCGCGTGTTCGTTCTATGTGTGAGTTTACGATTCGTTCGTATGACGAACGAATCGTCGCTTTCGCGTTTTGAGATGCCGCGACGACGACAAAGACGACGACGTTTACGATATTACATAAATAAATATATAATAACTAGCGTCGTCGCGTCGTACCGCCGCGTCTACATCCAACACGCTCCGACGTTTCATTCTCCTCTCTCATGTCGTCGTCGTCGTCGTCGTCTCTCGGATAAAGAGATAATACGACGACGCGAACAGAGATCGGAGAGGAAACCGAGCAGTCTTTTAAATTGATACGACCCTCAGCCAGGAGTGGTCCGGGAACAGTATCCGAGGACCGCAATGTGCGTTCGAAATGTCGATGTTCATGTGTCCTGCAGTTCACAAGTTGACGCGCAATTAGCTGCGTTCTTCATCGACCCACGAGCCAAGTGATTCACCGTTCAGGGTAATCGTTTTTTAATTAGACGATCTCTATATATATAAAATATATATCGATACGTCTTTATTGTTATGATAATGGCTAATGTTATTAAAGAAAATATATAAAAAAAAGAAAGCGCGCATTTCTCACGGAGACTTCGTGTATTTTGCGCGGCAAACGCGCAAAATTTTTTTGCGCGTTTATAACAAACGAGCGTGCCGACGAAGTCTCTCGTGTACGCGCGCATTCTATCCGTATCGCGCTTCTATAGCATACGCGTGTGCAAGGGGTACAAATAACACTACAACAGAGTTGTACATAACATGAATATATATGTATGTATTAAGCGTACAACACGTGTCGTCCTCTTGTACCGTCTTTTCGTATGGCGTAGAAATTTCGACTAACGGGCGAATATCTTTAAAAACAACCGGAAAAGAAGGAAATGAGTCGTGCGGACACGACGACATATCTCCGTTCTTCTCCCATATAGAGTTACCCGTCGAAAATATCGCCATCCGTACAGACGACGACGTCGTAGAGACACGTGTGTACATACGCATACGCATACAACACAATATTATGTCTATGCGATATACGCGTGTCGGAACGTACCCCGAGCGCGCGCTCGCGCGTACTAGAAGCGCTCTATACGGCGTGGTGCGTTCGAAAATTATACGTATTATATGATGGTGGGACGACGAAAAGATTTTCAATAAGATTTATAAAAAAGATACGCACTCGCGTACACGACGAGACGAGGGAAGAGGTTGTGTGTTACACACAAACAACAACACCTCGTTCGGGTAATATACACGTGTGTGCGCTCGATCTTACTATAAATGTTCCTTATTATCTTTTCGAACGTCGCTACATCATCGCCTATAATAAAAAGGCAAATTCGTTCAATGAATAGTAAAGTGTATAAGAGTAAAGTATCGTGTTGAAATATATTACTCATTATACGAAAGACTTTTTTTTGTCAAAGACAAAA